GATTTAACAAGATAACTGAAAGTTGGAATATTCTCAAGATATGCTCTTTCGTAAAACGAATATTCTAAGCATATGATGTTTACAAACTTTACAGTCTACACTAAATAAAGTTTTTTACCTCAGAAATACTTAAGTCTACTTTCGTATTTATCTTATCGAAAAATCTAGAGTCCTCGAATTTGCACATTAATCAACATTCCAACATTTATTAATATCTTATTAATAAATGAACTCAAATTTAAACCACTCAAACACTGTCACGTCATTTCACGATGTAACATGTTTAGACACCACCACAAACACACACCCCCATCCACCAATTAAAATTCCATAATTGGCAATTCAAGAGTTAGAATTTAACCATGGTTAAGGTGGGAAAACATGTTGGGTTAGGAAAGCCCATGCTCTGTTTTATATTTTTTGGTATTTGGGAGAATGCCATTGCAGGTTGTGAGAAGTTGTGTTTTTGAGAAAAGGGGCCAGCTTTTGGGGATTTTTGAGATTTGGGCTAGAAGGAGGGGCCGAAAAAAGAAAAAAAAAACTGGTGAAGGAGGTCCGTCCATGGTGTCTCTCTGCGATTCAAATTCCTCAGCCAGCGTAGCTCACATAATAAGGTGATTAAACTCATCTCTGAATCTAGGGTTTCCTAAAATTTAGTGAATTTCATGCCTGAATCATTGATTCTAGGGTTTGATTTCCGACTTATAATTATCAAATTCGAGGTCTTTCGTTAAAAATTCGACCTTTTGGAGCTGAATTGGAACTTATTGAGTTAGATCCATGGCTGAGATTTCTGGTTTCATTTCTCTGATTTGGGTTGTGCTTTTTACTTTCATTGATTTTGCATCTGTGTAGTTATGTGCTGCATGTTTGTTTGAGCTAATTACCAGTTCGCTGGTCAATTTTGGGCCTCAGAGCTAAAACTAGACGCATATTTTTTTCGAGATATGCGTATGAATTCATATTTTGTTTGTGTTGGGGTTGCGTGGTGAGGATGAGGTTCTTGAAAAAGCTCGAAAAAGCGTTGTTATTTTCGATATGTATCACGGATATGTATTTGTTGTGGGATTCTTGTGTTTGCATGCAACTTTCATGACAATTTCTAACTGGATTTTTATCTAATTTGACAATAAGGTTGCTGAATCGCTAGGGTAATTGGGAGCATTGTAAAACAATAAGCAAACATTAGAGAGCAAGAAGATAGAGTAGGAATATGGAGTGCAACAAAGATGAGGCGGCTAGAGCAAAAGAGATTGCGGAAAGAAAGTTCACCGCAAAGGATCTTATGGGAGCAAAGAAATTTGCCTTGAAGGCTCAAACTTTGTTTCCGGGGCTTGAGGGGATTCCCCAAATGTTGGCGACCCTCGATGTGCATATCGCTGCAGAGAACAAAATAAATGGGGAGGCTGATTGGTATGGTATACTTGGTGCGGATCCGAAAGCAGATGATGAGGCGGTGAAGAAACAGTATAGGAAACTAGCTCTTATGCTTCACCCTGATAAGAACAAGTCCGTAGGAGCTGATGGAGCGTTTAAGCTACTATCAGAAGCATGGAGTTTGTTGTCCGATAAATCTAAGAGAGTAGCCTATGACCAGAAGAGGAGAGTACACCAAAGGGTAGCGACTGCGAGTGGGAGTTCACAGGCTCCTCCAGGGGCCAATGGTTACTACAATTTCACAAAAGGTGCAACGTCAGGTGCACAGACTCAGAAGGTTAATACACAGACTCAGAAGAGTACCACACAGACTCAGAAGAGTACCTCACACAATCAGAAGGGTACCTCACGGGCTGGCCGCTCTTCAGCTCCTGCTTCATCTCAAAAACCAAGACCGAATACCTTTTGGACGGTGTGTCATAAATGCAAGATGCAGTATGAGTATCTCAGGATTTATCTTAATCATAATCTTCTTTGCCCGAATTGCCACGAACCATTTCTAGCAGCAGAAATAGCTCCACCACCTACAAATGGTGCCAAGTCAGCTCCACCAAAGCATGAAACAGCTGATAGAATGGGTGTGGGATCTGCAGGTTTCAGTGGTAATCAATCGTACAACCAAAACAACTTCCAATGGGGTCCATTCTCTAAAGCATCGGGTGCTTCTACGGCTGCCCAAGCAGCAAGCGTAGTTAGCCAGGCATATGAGAAAGCGAAGAGAGAGCGCGAGCAGGCTCAAGCAGCATTAAAAAGAGAGGAGTTGCGGAGGAAGCATCAAGCCTCCAAGAATGCTGCGAAGAGAAGAAGAGGAATGGAAGATGTCAGTGTCAGCAGCTACGGAAGGGATGTCACAAATCAAATGGGTGTGGGAGCTGGAGCTGGAGGAGCTGGAACAACTTATTTTTCTGGATCAAATGGAAACGCAAGGCCCAGTATCACAAGGGATATCTCCCAGATTGAAATTCAAAGTTTACTAAGGGACAAGGCTAGAAAAGAAATTCTGAAGAAACTAAATGAATCCACCGTATCCAAGACTGCAGCCAAAGAGATGGGGAATGGGAATGAGAGAGAAAAATCTTTGGGAAACATTGATGTGCATAACAATCAAAAGCAGTCTGGTGAGCCAGTAGACACAAAGAATGGTTCTTCTGACATGAAAGGTTCTGGCATTTCTGGTGTCCGTTCAGATGTAGAAACATTGACAATAAATGTTCCTGATTCTGATTTTCATGACTTTGACAAGGATCGATCAGAGAAGTGTTTTGAAGATAATCAGGTCTGGGCTGCATATGATAATGATGATGGGATGCCAAGGTTTTATGCATTAGTTCAAAAGGTGATTTCTGTGGATCCTTTCACAGTGCGTATCAGCTGGCTAAATTCGAAAACAAATAGTGAACTGGGACCTCTTAACTGGGTATCTTCTGGCTTTTCAAAGACGTGTGGGGAGTTCCGCATAGGGAAATATGAAGTGAGTAATTCACTTAATTCTTTCTCTCACAGAGTTCGGTCAACAAAAGGTCCACGGGGGACTATCTGGATATATCCCAGGAAGGGGGATGTTTGGGCGCTATACCGGAATTGGTCCCCGGACTGGAATGAACTGACAGCTGACAATGTCATTCACAAGTATGACATGGTTGAAGTTGTTGAAGACTTTAGTGAGGACCAAGGTGTGCTTGTGACGCCCTTGGTGAAAGTGGCTGGCTTCAAGACGGTATTTCACCGGCACTTGGATCCCAGAGAGACCAGGAGGATCCCTAGAGAAGAGCTGTTTCGGTTCTCTCATCAAATCCCTTCAAGCTTGATCACGGGTCAGGAAGCTGCAAATGCTCCAAAGGGTTGTCGGGAGCTGGATCCAGCAGCTACTCCATTGGAGCTTCTTAAAGTTATAAACGACCTTAAAGAGGAAGATACGATGGAGGTTGACAAAAAGGGTCAGCAAGTCGATGTAGCAGATGATGGAGAGAATGATACTGGCATAGAGATAGCAGCCAATTCTATTCCCGTCACGGAAGAAGCAAAAGGGAGTTGATATATGCAGATAGAATTTGCTGTGACATATTTTGGGGCTATGCAGCATGAGTTGGAAATATTTTGGGGCTATGCAGCATAAGTTGGAAAACTGAATTTTTGTGGAATGTTTGTAATGATACTCCTTACGGCTTACCTCACATCATGTGCCCAGGGAGTTGAAGCAGCTGAAACGCTGAAGGCCCTTTCACTGCAACTCAATCCGAGATTTTGCTCGCGGCATTAGCAGGTGAAAGCGTGAAAGCCCGGAAATTGACATACCCTCTTCCAACAGCCATTTTTTTTTTCCTGTGAATGATATATCTCTAATTATTGGTTGTCCATGAGCTGATGATGCTCCATTCCCTTGATGTAGTTGCTATGACCTGCCCAATTGCATCTTCTTGCTGTATGTTTTGTGTAAAACTGTAGTGTTGCTGTTGCTCTTCTGATTACTTATCAAATGGTCGTGCATTCTGATACCCCATTTCATTTCAGTTCACGAGAGACATGGTTTTCTGATTTATTTTCTTTGTTTCTGTAAACTCTACGAAACTGGCTGAGATGAAATTTCTGCACATGAAAATTCGTGATTTTAATCTTAAGTAAGTACACTTTTTCATTTAGTACTACGTTTTAGTAGTATTTTTTTTATTTGTAAGTAAGGTTCTGAGTTCAATTTCCGTTAAAAGAGAATTTAACCATATTATTGTAATTATTATGAGACTTAATTCAATGCCCTACCCTCTTAGTGCAGCCAACATCGTTGTTAAAAAAAAAAAAAAAAAAAAGTCTCAAGTACACTAACCAGGCTTTTGGGCGGTCATCTTAATTTTTTATTACCTTGAGAATTTAGGGGCTCGATGTTTTTAGTTCTGGAAAGTCCGATGCTTCTAGTTCTGGAAGATACTTTCTTTTTCAATGATTTTTTTATTGTTTATTTTGCTAAAAATAGACATGTCGTTTTCATTAAAACCGTCACGTGGATGGTGTTTGCATATACCGCGTACGTAATGGATCCATTTTCGATTTCTGGGTACGGGATCCGCCAACAGGATCCTCTTCGGAGATAAATTTTTAGTTATGACAGGAATACGGATGGTACATCATGTGTTTTTATGTAAGTAATGAATTTTGTTTTTAAAGTTATACTTTTTAATATATATATCCTACCATTTATATAGTAATAAGTGATGTATCATTTCGTTTGACAGTCACATTGAAAAATTTTTCCGAATCCTTTTGGTGAGGATCCTAAGGATCCATGAATCGTATTCATTCATCGTATATCGTGCTATTAGTTTTTGTCCAGTACTGTTTACGTTTAATTTTAAATAAAAATATTTAAAATGATTTCTGACAGCAACGATGTACTATGAACGGACACGAGTTATGAATATCCGGATTCGAGGATCTGGCGAATATCCGGATTCCGGGATGTACGCACCTACCCCCAATCACCACCCGACGCGTGTCCCGAATTACGTGGTTCGGCCAATCGCAGCGAGGGCGGTGACTCCATAACGCCGGGGTCGGGGACCCTATCATCCGCTTGTTAAATATAAAACCGCCTGAAAACGCTACTGTTTTCGTGGAAGAGAAAATAAGGGCGAGAGTCAGAACTCGCCTCAGAGAAAGAATTCGACCAGGAAGGGGAGGAGTAATCACCTGCGACGCACTTCAGCTACCGGATCTACACCCGCAACCATGGTAACATTCTCGCTGATCCCCTCTGTAATGTTAGATGAAATCATTTGGGTTTTCCAAAGTTTTGTTCTTTGATGCGGATCTGTAAAATTGAATTGAATTGTTTTTGTAGCTGCATGTGAAATTGGGATTATGATGATGATGTGCGTGTGTGTATTTAAATTTGAATTGGGGATTTTTGCAGACGACTTCAAGGCGTTTGGCTGACAGGAAGGTGGAGAGGTTCGAGAAGAACATAACGAAGAGAGGGGCGGTGCCTGAGACGACCGCCAAGAAGGGCAAGGATTATCCAGTGGGTCCTATTCTCCTTGGCTTCTTCGTCTTTGTTGTCATCGGATCATGTATGTGCAATCTCACTCAATTTAGCAGATCACAGACCTGATATGATTATGTCATAAGCTAGAGTTTGCCTAACTGATATCATTTGAATAATCCGTATAATTGGTAATTATATCTGGGTTTTAGCTCCCATTTGTGATTCTTGATTTGGTTGGTCTGCATTGTATTGTGTCTGCATGCAATGGAATTTGTGAAACTTTGAAGGGGATTAAGAAATTGATAGAAAGATTGAAGCTTTAAGCACCCATTTTGCAATATGCTCATTTGGATTGAAGCCGAAAAGGGTTTCGAATTTGTTTCGATGTCTTGATTTGAATAAGATGAAAACCGAAACGTAAAGCACTTAATTGGCAATGCTCATTTGGGTTGAAGCCGAAAAGGGTTTTCGAATTTGTTTCGTTTCCTTGATTTGAATAAGATCAAAACCGAAACGTACAGCACTTATTTGGCAATGGTCATGTGGGTTGAAACCCAAAGGGATGTTTGAACTTGTGACGTTGCCTTGATCAAAAAGATAAGGGGGGGTTTTGCTAGTTTCAGTTCATTTTTTTCTGTTGCAAATGTGATGTGCATGAATGATTTTTTGGTGTCGTTGCGATTCTGACCTTTTGATTTTGTGTGGAGCAGCTCTCTTTCAGATAATCAGGACTGCTACAAGCGGAGGCATGGCCTAATCGAATCGACGCTGCTGCTGCTGATGCTTTCTAATTTATGAGAGATGGCATGAACCTGTCATGCCGTTTACCATTTGTTAGCGATTAGGAAACTGATGATATACAGATGTGATGTAGTAAGAACTAAAACAGTGGTGTTTCTATCTTGTGAAGAGTAAGAAGTTTGAATAAAGGATCCCTTCCTCTGCTTCGCTTAATTCTACCTTTTCTTGTTTATCCCTATGCATTGTTTCATTGTCAATGGCTAGATTAACTTGTATCTCTCGTCGGCATCACCGAGATATAATCGTGTCTCGGACAATCGTTTCTCTTGTGGTTGAGTTTGCATGACATGAAATTTTGTGCAAAACTTCAGGGTTGTGAAAACCACTATTTTCCTTGCCTTTGGCAATCCACCACTATCAAGGTTAAGATGTACAGATTTCGGAATTATTTGTAGTAAAAACGATTCATTCTTGTAGACGAGATTGTGTTTGTTTGATGACCATTAGACGAGGTTGTATTTGTGAAATTTGGGCCCGTTTGATAACCATCAGATGAGATTGTATTGTATTCGCCCAGTTGTACATTGTCCGAGACAAATCAAGCCTACCAATTTGAAGAATTCGAGTGCGCTTCTGATTTTCCAAATTCCAGTTCCACCACCTGCAAACAATATAATGGTAGACAGACGGTTTATTTCAGTACAACCAGTTACAAACACAGATGAGATTACATTCATTAAGGTGACTGAAACATAGGCATTCTAATCTGTCTTCCGGAAACAAAGCAATGTGTCAAGTTTGAACACAAAAGAGTAAACTCCGGCCGTCATACAACTTACAACACATGGAATTGTCCACTTGATTAAAACAAATAAAGAAAATTGTCCAGAAACAAGTTGGCCGGGAAAGCTTGCAACTGACCGTGACGAAACCGATGGCTAAGGAACAGCAGTCGGGGTTGGATAAAATGCGGTGCCACATGCAATCCATTGCCGCTTCCTCCCGTGTGGCACCACGCAAACAGGGACCTTCAGCCATTCCCTGCTCGACACATTATATGTAACCAATCTGTTCATTTGTCTCGACCTCAAGGACAGCATGAGCAAGCCTTTGTTACCCAGGCAAGTCATCCTCACGTGCTTCCCGTAAAACTCCAAGCACCATATATTTGGCATTCTGTCAACCTCCTTCCAAAGAAGTGTCATTTTCTGAAGCTCCCAAATGCACACGCATGTGGCAGCATTCTTTGATAACAATCCCACGAGCATGATCCGGCCTCCACATTCAGCAAGTGTATGGTCAGTCAGATGCAGCGGGGTGGGAATTATGAACTGCTTCCAAATCCCAGTGGCCATATCATATGACACAATCCCTTCAGGGTCTGAACGCATGAAGTAGAGTGTGCCATCAATTGAAACAGCCTGCGACCGGAAATTCAGAGATAGTGGCAGCTTAACACCTGATGGCATGATTCCTGGACGGGTCCAAGAATTCGTCACTGAATCATAAACTTCGTACTCACCGTCACAAACCACCCATAGGATCTTGTAGCCGCCACTGGTTGAACTCCTATTCAAAGTCATCCCCACAGCAATGCGAGACCAGACCTTAACTGACCTGGCTGGCAACTCTTTAAAAGATTGATTCAGGGGGTTGCAAACATAGAAGTTCCTATTACCGATATCAAGAAAACATACCAGTCCCCCTGCTGAAGCCACCGGTAAAACAATTAACTTTGTTGGCAAAGAAGAAAGAGTGGGATGGTGCCACTTCTTCAAGGAAGGGTCATACATGGCTCCAGAATTCACATTTTCATGAGTGATGGTGTAAAACCATGGAGTAGTTTGTGGGACCTCCGCACAATGTTGAGAGAAACTTTCAGTATCCAGCAAGGAATTCCATTTCCTGCAAACAGTACGAAATCGGAAATATGTAGCAATGGGAAGCCTCGCAATGAGCTTCATAAAGGTCTTCCGGGAAATCTTTCCAAATATTCTGTTCCATAGGCTCAGTGGTATTGGTAGTTTCAGAGGATTTACCCCGGGTTCGCTCCTTACGAGATCTCTTGGTAGGAGGAGGCTTGCATGGTTCCATCATCTTATAACTTCCAGATTTTCCAGCTGCCATCATAAAACTGTAGTAATCATCTGCAGAACCTTCATCAACGTTAATTGGGCACCACCTGTGTAAATAGAAGTAATGATTAAGTTAATTATATGCTCCTTAATTGAGGAACTTTACCGCAGTTGGAAATTAAAAAGGGAAGAAAAATGAAATGTACACATGTAAAGGTCAACAAAGTACATTAACACAAAGACATGAGAAACAATAACGAGTTCTGAACTATTGAGGACAAAGATGTAAAACAAAACCCAATCTGGAGTTCTTATAAAAAATTGAAGTAGGCAAATCTATGAGGCTGCTTCTACGAGGCCTTATCTACGATTTTATTAGGTTTTTCTTATTCTAAGAACTGATTCAAGCCAACTCCGTGCGGTACAGGCTACAAGCTTTACTGAAACTCTATTAGATCCCTTAGAAAAGAACTTCACTTAGCCTTAAATATTAGTTTTAGGTAATTTGCAATAACTTATCAAAAGAAGCAAGCTAATACTAGAGCATGGAATTGACCAGAAATGAAAGATATTGAATATTAAGGACTTAAAGAGAAAGGAAGGGTCACTGATGTAGTAGTACGAAAAACCTATGACATTCAAATTTTGAAGGTTCCACCCCAAAAACACTGAAATCAAACACCAAGCATAAGTTCAACTTCAACAGACATGGGGTGAACAAACTCGGAGAACAAGTGAGCAAATTAAGATAGTGCAATAAACTAACTTTTATACACTTCGAGATTGTATTTTTCATGAAAATTAAGCAATATATCGCTAAATAATGCAACTTTCAGAAACAAGTTGTTGAAGGCTGGAATCCAAGTTAGCCAGTTTACCAGTCAAGAAGTGAAGACAACCAAGCAGAACATGTAATGCTAACCAACAACCTACGCCGAACAGAAAGAGATGTAGAAGATGTAGGAAGTTTGTTAAACACTAAATATGAAGAGGTCTACGATTCAATGGAATATACGTAAGCATACAGTACAAGGAACCAAGAGGTGAAGTTCAGGTGTCATATTTAACCAGAAACTAATTGTTTTTATTCAGTACCCTAATGTAATGAACGTCACCTACAAATTTACCCAGCTTGGTCCAAGGAGACGGTTTAGTTGGCGATCTATGTTTCTGAAAACCCCTCTTCCAACTTTTCCTTCATCTAATCAGATTCTTAAAGTTCAAGGACCTAACTGTTCGTTTGCTCCTTCCCCTTTTCTGGTTTGCTATGGTAGACGTAATCAAATGGTTTTAAGACAGAAATGGGCAACCATGAATAGGTTCAGAGTTGGCCATGAGCCTCCCCAAGAACACCGTGAACCCGGAAACCCAACCCCGGCTGGACAGTCATGAAGACAAACCAGAGAGGGGAGAAGAAAACAAAAATATCAAATATTTGCACCATTGCTACTGTCTATCACTAAATAGTTTGGTAGAGCCCATCAATTTTGTGACAAAGAAATAAGCTAAACATAAAAGGAAAAGAGATGAAGCTCATAGAGTAAAAGGCAGAAATTAAATAACAAATTCCTCAAATAATTAAGACCCAACTCCACAATGGCAAAACCATTTCTGCAAAGCAATCAAACCCAATTTCTCAATCGTAAATGGCAACACAGCAAACAAAGCAAAACAACCAAATTCAGCAAGAGAATCAAGGAAAGCCATGTAATTTACACTTCAGAGGAAGAAAAAGAAACCAAATAAAGCAAACAAGGAAGCAACTCGAACAAAAATCAGAATACCACCAATAAACCATGAAAAGAAAGAAAGAGAAGAAATTGAAGAGATGGGTCGGAAAGAAATGGAATTTGAGAAGGCGGGAGAGATCCAGAAGAGCGAGAGAGAGAAGAGAGAAACCTGAGGAGGTGGTGGTGGTGGTGGTGGTCTTGTTGTGGTTGCTGAGAGTGGCGATGGCGGAGAAGAGGAGGAAGCTGAAGCTGAAGCTGGAGATGGTGTTGGTAATGAGGAGGAGGCGGGTGAGAGCCGACGAGCTCCTGAAGCTGACCGATGAGCTGCCTCAGCATGGCCAGCCCTTCCATGCCCCTCACAGGCTCTCTCTCTCTCTTCTCTCTCTCCCCTCTCGCGATTGACGACCCAAACTCCCAAACAAAACACACAAAAACCAGACCTTTTATTCTTCTTCTTATTTTAATTTATTTTTACTGAGAATTAATTAAATAAAGAACAGGAGAGCACCAGAAAAACCAGAGCTGCCCCTTTCTCTTCTTTCTCCATCCCCCAACCCAACTTCCACTCTCTCTCCTCCTTTTCTCTCCTCTCTGACTCTCTCTTCCCCAATGTTTTATTTTTTGACCTTAAAAATAATTACTATTTCACTTGTTATAATATCAGCATACGATTTATTTAATATGTCATGGACTTTTGATAGAGTATTGTAAAACTATATACACATTATATTATATAACACAACTGAATTGGTATGTAGGCAGTCAAACTAGAAAAACTTCTTTGCTACAACTGTTCGTGGATTTTTTGTCGGATGCTCAAAATAAAAGTTTATTGTTTACAAATTCTCTGGTAATCATTTCGTTTTCTTTTTAACTTTTAACCGAAATTAAAATTATATTTGGCATTGTTCTAACTTTTGAGGATGATCTTCATAATTTTTTATATGATCTCATCTTCAGAATTAGTATCAATTACCAAAACCTTCTATAACTATTTTTAACTTTTATTTAGAAACAGAAATAGTGACCAAACAAGTTTATTTTATTATTAATTTTTTTTGTTACATATTGTTTAAACCTTGAAAAATAAAGTTTTTTTTTTGTTGTTGATGGGTATAAGAGTAAATTCATAAGTTTAACATAGGGTTTTGCAATCAAGTGTGAACGCAAAGGATTTTAACCTGATGATGGTCAAGGAAACCACGGAAGAGAGCGACTTTTGAAGTAGCAAATAATAATAGCTTGGCTTTTGGAGAATCAACGGCTGTGGTTAGATATGGGAAGGCTCTTTCTTTGTTGCCCTTGTTCCACGCACACTTTTCCCATTTTATGATGAATTTTGTTAGAATTACGGGAGTGCCTACCCCTACTTATGCCTTTTCAGTCTTTTCCTCTACTCATTTTTCATAATGATCACAATACCCCTCAAGTGCTTATCATTATTCATCTTTCTTTTTTGAGAGTTTTAACTAAACACTTTTGTTACTGTTTACTTTTAACGAAAAATCAAATTTTTACTTTTAATTGACACTATTCACTATACCTTTAAAAATGACTTTTCGTTAAAATAGAAGTTTTTTTGAACTTTTCGTTAATTTTCCTTTCTTTTTTTCCCTTTTCATTTTTGTAGTAAAAAAATGAGATTACAAACTAAAGCCCTAGGGCACGACACACCAAAATGTTAAAATAAAGCTTTTTAATCAAAATGGTTTTTAAGTTTGGCAGGACTCCCATTTTGATTACAGAGATTTAAAGCTGATAGAAGTGGTATTTGAGATTGTTTACCGTCAATTATTTTGGTCTTTTCATGAAAAATTTCTGTTAAATTGATAATAGTTTTTTCAAATCAACCCCTCCACTTAAACTGGTGGTTTTATCAATTTGATGGAGATTTTTCATAGGATGACCAAAATGATTGATAGTGGACAATCTTAGAGATCATTTTTATCGATTTTAAATCTTAAGGAACAAAGTGTAGAGTTATGACAATCTTATGGACCATTTTAAATAAACAAAATCCACATTTGAGAAACTAAAATATTATGACTTAAATCAAACACAAGTTCGTCAAAAAGTTGGCTTTTTGAAAAATACATTTGAAAGTTACTTCATTTTTCTTTTTATGTAAAATTACTCAAATTTTTAGATATTTTTTATACGTGCGACATTACAAGACAGGATGAAATACTAAAATTCAGCCTCTGCGCACAAGATGCTTGTAATTGCTTGATCTGCAAATCTTTGCAAACTAATCAATTTTACTTTCAAGGCACTAAATATGTTATATGTTGTACATCAATTTATTTATACGATAAAATTAATTTGAGAGTTCATTCATATGAAAAGACGATAATGATTTTGAAAGCAAAAGTATATAAAATGGAAAATGCAAATAAGCAAAGTTGAAAATGCTCTTCCTTCATGCGTAATCAAAAGCCATAAATGACACTAATAATGTCTACCCCTAAAAACATGGAGAAAAGAGAAGTTGAAAGAAAAATCGCATACATTCCCCCTCACAACATTTGTTGAAATAAGTGATGGCAGCAAACCTTGTCTTAAGCAATCAAAGTCATACAAGTTCCCCACTGAAGAAAGATCACATATGCAAATGTCATTATATAAGTGGATGGATATCTGAAGAAAAAAAATCTCTATACTTATATGATATGTAATGTATCACATAATGTTCTAGACACATTAAAAAATCTCTCTCCGTTGAAGATTAATTCTACCATTTGAATCACGGGATACCTCGGACTTCGAAAAAGAAAAGAAAAAGAAGCAATCATACAATTCATTTCCTAAGCAAATGGCCAATCTACGCATTCGATCACACATCATGAAGTGACTAATAAGTGAGTGGGATGTTTTCCTTTTCCTTTTTCCATTTTATCAAATCACATCTTAAAAGTAAGTTAATAAAGTTTAAATTGGATTAACCTAAATTAAGCTAAGAAAGATTGATTTAATTGTTATTTACCACATGTGTTGGTGTTACTTGAAAAATGAGCATATGGGATAGTTTGGTGACTATTGTAGTTATTTGAAAGTTTCTTTCTCCTAAGACTTGTGGGGCTTTCCTTTACCTAATAAATTTGTTACACCCCCAACCCCAGAGTCATGCGCACTGATGCAATAAGTACCAATTGCTTAAACCCAAAACATAGCAACCTAAGCTAAATTGTTGCTTCAATGCAGCACTTGAGCCTTGCCTAATTAACTTGTCTTCCTATAACACTCATCCTCTCTCTAGAAGCTTCATAAATGGAGAACCATTTTGCGAGATGTGAAACAAGCGGGCAGTCAACATGATTCTATTGTGGGAAGTGCGAGAAAACTAAGCGAGTCGTCTGATTGCCTCACATTCTGCACAAACACATAATCATCTCAATCCTTTCAATGTCTCACATTCAACAAAACGAGATCTACTAAAATAGTTTTCTCTCTCATCTCTTTGTGTTCATTAGAGACAATTTCTAATGTAATTATATCATATCTAGATCATAATTCGATTCAGTTTGAAACAGTCCAACTACACAACTGAACAAATTGAGGGAGAAAAAAGTGGGAAAATGGTAAGGAAGGTAATTAGGTGGGGAAGAGGTGGAGAATTTGGTAAGGGGGGAAGTAATGATTAAGGGGGGTGTATTCAATTGAGAATGTGAGAGATTTTAATGGATTTATAAATCCATGGATTTTTATGGAGTTTAATTGATTTGTAGAGATTCCATATAAAATTTTGATTCAATTCCCTCGAAATCTCATGGGATGAGGTGAGATTTGTGGATACTTAAAATACACTACGAAATCTCTCAAATTCCCTCTAATTCCTCAACTTTCTCAAATTCTTTAAAATCAATTTCTAATTGAATACACCTAGAATGTTATAAACTTCTTTAAAATCTTAATTGAATACACCTGGATTTCTAAGGATTTTAATAAACTATTTTAAAATTCTAATTGAATACACCTAGAATTTCAGAGAATCACTTAAAATCCTGATTGAATACCCCTAGATTCATTAAAAGAATTAAAATCCCTTAAAATCCCAATTGAATACACCCCCCTAAATGTCGAGGCTAAAGTTAAGGTGAGAGGGAAGGTTTTGAAAATTAATGATTAGGTTTGGCAAAACCAAGGGGAGTGAGTGAGTGAGATGCGGATGCGGTTTTGTAATCATTTCACATGCTCTCCTTCTTCTTCTTCCCTCCTTGGGAAGGAAGAAAGAAAGAAGACATTGGGTCATTTTGGTCATTTGGATGGTTACTGGTGGGTATAAATGGTATAATTGCCCATCATCGCATTCATCATCGATTCCCTTCTTTTACGTGTGCATTCGATTCCCTTTCCCCGTGTGAGATTGCTTTTTTGAATCTTCACTCAACCCTTTCTATTTTCCTCCATTGATTCCGCGCCATTTCATCTCAACCCATATAAATGCAAACTTTTGGTTGGGAGTAGTCCATCCAACTTTAGCACTATGACCGTCTTGCCATCATGTGACACCAAGCGTAACATGTGAAATGTCTCGAATATTTTGTATGTGTGACAATAAGAATTGACATCTGAAAGATAAAACTGATCAATGATGTAGTTTTAAGATATATGGAGAGTTTTCCTTGTTTGTTGGGTTAGTTCATGTGCGATACTTTTTGTATTGGATTCATGTTGATCGTGCTGGATTTCTTATTTCAGCAAAAAGGGTTTGTAATTGTATTACATACAGCTTCCCAATATTTTTTAGCAATATAAGATATGTTAGGAAACCACATCATTGTAATGTCCATTAGTAGATGCGCATGAGAGTCAGTCTATGTAGTTGCGAAACCACATCATTGTAATGTCCATTAGTAGATGCACATGAGAGTCAGTCTATGTAGTTGCACCCACCGTTCACAGTTGTTACCTATGAAACCGTCCAATGTTTCTTTGATGTTCTTCATGAGCATGACGCAACAAAGGCAAGATGCTTAACAAAATGTCTCAACAAGGCTTAAGACATGACAGATAGTCAATGACAACAAGTCAAAGTGGTGTGCGAGCTTCGTCTTGCTCACGATAGGAAAAATTCTTAAACGCACCACTAATAATATCATAGCGTTACTCATACTATAATACTCTTTTGAACTCAACTACATACTATATCCAAATTGAATGAGGAAAAACTAGAAGGTGAAGGAGGTTACAACCTAATTGCTACATACTGTCATCTGCATCCTGCATTGGTTGCCTAATGCCTACATGCCATGAAATGTCTTCTCCCTTTTGTTAGGTCTAGCATCACCAAACCGTTGCAAAAGCATTAAACCTTCAAGACTTTCAACAACGTTCTTCATTGTCGGACGGTTTGTCGGGAAAAATTCAACACAACGCATCCCCAGCTCTGTAATTGCCGTACCATCTTCAACAACATAACTCCAGTCTTCCTGTAAGCCTCTGTGGACAAGTGAGCAATTGGGCTTATATTCCTTCTTGGCCCAGTACTGGACTAAATTGTCCAGGCCCAACTGGGGTTCTTCCACACTCTCTAGCTCAAACCCTCTCTTGGCTATTAGGCCCAAGAGAATCACGCCAAATGAGTACACATCACAGCTTGTATGCCAATACCTACCCCCTGAAAAATGAAACGCGTTTTGTTTTTCATCAGTTTTGAACGTTTCTTCTCTCGATTGAACGTCATTTTTTTTATTAAATAACAGACTGTCGATATGATGCGAGATAAATCATCACTAACATTTAGTAGATGATATTTTTCAATGAAAAAAAATTCAACGTGTTATTGATACATGTAGGCACAAAATTCTAAGAATCAGACATATTTTTGAAGTTTTGGAAAGAACCTTTTGCAGCGAAAAATGGGTCAACAAAGCCGATGGACGTTGGTATCTGCTTTTTTGGTGTAGTCATGTCACCAATGATTCCTCCACTGATGAGTCCAAAATCAAATAATTTTGGCTTGCAATCCTATAAAACACCAAAAGTTGTGAAGATATTAATTTCAATGCAGATTTGAAACAGATAAAAAGAGAGGTTGAAGGCCTGAGGTCCAAACCCGATCCAGAATTATATGAGATGCATTCATATTTAGCACCAAATATGGCTTCTCCTTGTTGTGTAGAAATTCAAGCAGGCCTGCTAATTGCACAAGCACATTCACCCTCTGAACCCAGTTGAGATAATCTGTGTATAAATTTAAGCAATTAGAGCGGAAAGCGCTTATGAGCAGAAGTGTTTCCTATATAAGCAATTTCAAACACTGGAAGTTTCATTAAAGTTCCAAATGTTTCTTTGAAAAACAGTGAGAAAACACCATAAGACACTTTTATAACACATAAATCCTTTCTAACTTTTTATGTTTAACGTTACCATAAACGCTTTTGATTATTTGATATAAGCTATTTGGTAATCCACAAGAATTTGAAGGTTCAAAACATAAACTGAACTTACCTTTGACAGTCAAATTTTGCAGTGTGTCCCATGGATTGAGGTCATAAACAACACCTTTCACTTCCTTTTCACAGCAGTAACCAATCAATTTCACCAAGTTTGGATAATCATTTAAAGTGGGATGTGTCAAAAATTCGACTTCTTCCTGCAGCAAAAGCCAAATCATCAGTTGGGTAAACCCTCCAAAACCCAAAAGGCTTAAACTTTTACAACTTACCTTAACCACCAGAAACTCATCATGCATGAGTTTACTGCAGCCAGCTGATTTTTCATCCCATACTTTTACTGTAACATCTCGAACTTGATCTGTTCCAGTAAATCCTTGCCTAATCCATCCTCGATATAATTTACCGAACTGGGTAAATCCAATCAAGTTGTTCTGGTGAAAGTCATTGGTGCATGCTCTCAAGTCCCCAGATGTAAACACTGTAATGTTTGCTGCAGAATCCATCAGCCATAGAAAGCAAATTCAGATGATAACTGAGAAGAAAAATAGCTATACTAAGCCGGTTATATATATATATATATATATATATATTATAGCTAGCTCAGCCTCCTTATTTTATTAGACGTTGACAATTGTATATTACTCTTCCTAATGATATACAGCAAGATTTTAGGTTACTTTTTTATGTTTTGTTTGAATCTTGAACGGTATTGCTTTCGTTTTGAAAAGTTCAACGGTTGACTTATACTGATTCCACGATCCAATGCATAAACAATAAACATCGAATTACGACGAAAATGTACCTGATTCCATCGCTACAGAGCTGGAGAGACGGTATGCTATGTTATGTTGCTCTATGTCACAGAAAATCTAATGGAAGGCTACAACAATAAAAAAACAACGACCGTGTCCTGATTAAGTTAATGTAAAATCCGAACGTCATTAAATGTTTGCCTAATTATGCTCAAACCAAATCCGAAGTCATTATTGATGTAATGTACAGTTACCCTAACAGCATTCCGATCAAATCCGATTTTCGCGAAGATAAAATTTAATCTGCTGTGTTCTGTAAGAAAACTCACGAAATATGGAATATGCATAACAAGCAAAGGGGGTGATAATTTTTTTTTCCACATGCCAACAGCATTGCCCTTGAAGTTGAACGGCTTGCAAATAGCTTGTGACAGAAACATGATTTAACAAGTTCTTACCAACCAAAAGACCATGGAAAATCTCACCCTCACTTGTTTTCTAACAACATCTCCTTATTTAACTCACTAATCCCATCTTAATTTTCCTTTAAATCCACTAATCCAATGGTAAATCTCATACCTTCACTCGTTTCAACCTCCCTTTGGCTTCCATTAGCTCCCTTTCACATATTCATCATGGGAACTTTTGTGCAGAACTCAGCCCAAGAGGATGAACATATTTTCGGAAGCCGGTCCCCATCTGTCCGAGTACCTGATAACATCACATTGCCAGAATTTGTGCTCCAAAATGCAGAATTATACGCTGGAAATGTCGCGTTCGTGGAGGCTGTGACTGGAAAGAAAATTACGTACGGCGAGGTGGTTAGAGACACAAGGAGGTTTGCTAAAGCCTTAAGGTCTCTTGGCCTTAGAAAGGGGCAAGTGGTGGTGGTTGTTCTCCCAAATGTGGCAGAGTATGCCATTGTTGCCTTGGGAATAATGGCTGCTGGTGGTGTGTTTTCGGGTGCAAATCCATCGGGGCACGCATCCGAAATTAAGAAGCAAGTTGAGGTTGCTGATGCCAAGATAATTGTAACAAATGGTGCAACCTATGAAAAGGTAACGTACGTTAATTCTTTTACTTTGAATAATGCAGGCATTTATGATCACATAAAAATCTAACCCTTTGAAGTTGAGAATTTGAGATGATCAGGTAAAATCTTTTGGGGTGCCGGTAATTTTGCTTGGAGAAGAGGTTATTGAAGGTGCCATGAACTGGGAACACCTACTTGAAGCAGCAGACCGTGCGGGAAACAGAATTAATGAGGAGGAGCTGAAGCAGACTGATCTATGTGCCCTTCCCTTCTCATCAGGCACAACAGGATTGTCTAAGGGTGTAATGCTGACTCACCGAAACCTAGTAGCGAACCTCAGCTCCACGCTCTTTGGAGTAACGCCGGAAATGATTGGTAAAGTCACCGTGCTAGGCCTAATTCCGTTCTTCCACATCTACGGGATCACTGGAATATGTTGTGCCACGCTCCGAAACAAGGGAAAAGTTGTGGTGATGGGAAGATACGAACTTCGGACATTTCTTAACGCATTGATCTCACATGAGGTTACCTATGCGCCCATTGTGCCGCCAATCATTTTGAACTTGGTTAAGAATCCAATTGTTGATGAATTTGATCTCAGCAAGCTCAAACTCCAGGCAATTATGACTGCAGCAGCTCCTCTTGCACCCGAAGTCCTCAACGCTTTCGAAAACAAGTTCCCCGGCGTCCAAGTCCAAGAGGTGACACATTGTGACAAAACCCTACGTCTGTAGCTAAAAATTGTAATAAAATATTATGTATTTGTGCTGATTAATGATTTTTAAACTTGCAGGCATATGGATTGACTGAGCATAGCTGCATCACACTCACTCATGCAGGACCAGGTCTTGTAGCAAAGAAAAACTCAGTAGGGTTTATTCTTCCAAATTTGCTAGTCAAATTCATTGACCCGGACACCGGTCGTTCCCTACCGAGAAATACACCCGGTGAACTTTGCGTGTTGAGTCAATGTGTAATGCAAGGTAAAGCATAGAGCTTTCGGATTGATTTGCATCAAACTGAATATGGCTTTTTAATCGGGAATAGCATCCGTATGGTTCCAAACTCATTATTTCAGTTCAAAGACTATTCGCGATAAAAAAGCCAACTGAATAATGTCAATAGATTTCATGTCACAACTGTAACTTGATTTTCAGGTTACTTTAACAACGAAGAGGAGACTGCCCGGACTATCGACAAAGATGGATGGCTTCACACCGGAGATATTGGCTGCATAGATGATGATGACAACGTCTTTATCGTTGACCGGATCAAGGAATTAATCAAGTACAAAGGTTTCCAAGTAAGACGGACGACTTATAATTAATAGATTAACTAGACTAATCGACATTGCAATGCGTTTGCTTGACTAATTATGTGTGCGACGTTTGAAGGTGGCTCCTGCTGAACTTGAGGCCATTCTTCTGAGTCATCCCTCGGTTGAAGATGTAGCAGTAGTCCCGTAAGTTTATTTCCATAAACCGAAACAAAGACTTCTGTTGTTCTTGTTCATATTCATTGTTAGAAATTTCCTATGCACGACGCCCATCCTTTGTTAAACGGTGGACTTTGCATCCACAATGTGTCAATAACACATCGACATGCTTTGTTATTGACAATGCTGTCTACTTATGTTATTGGCACTTTTTTGCAGGCTGCCGGACGAGGAGGCAGGGGAGATTCCGGCAGCAAGTGTTGTGATCGCAGCTGGTACAAAAGAGAGCGAGGAAGAGATAATCAACTACGTGGCCTCAAACGTTGCACAATACAAGAAAGTGAGAGTGGTGCACTTTGTGGACACAATTCCAAAATCGCCCTCGGGGAAGATCATGAGGAGGCTTATCAAAGAGAGCATGATGGAAAAGATCAAGGCATCCAAGCTCCACTGCCTTAACTAATATCATGGTTTAAACTACCATAACCGGGCCAAAGCCAATACATACGGATATCGACGGGCTAGGTGTCTATCACAACCAACTAGGTCGATTGTTGTTGAGCTGTGATTACCAACTAAGCTCTATTAAGATTACATATCTGGTTTAAAACGATTAATTAAAATGTCATTTATCTTCTATCTATATTATAATACGTTAAATAATTCACAAGACGTACCAACATATTTTGTTTGGTGAGTAGGAGGCTAGGAGGGTTTGGTTAGGTTTATCGGATTTTAACAAGAAGAGTTTGAGAGACCGAGCCGTACTGTTGGTGAATTGACTAGACAGGAGTGATGAGTGGGACCAGGCCATGGAACAAGTCGACTAGTCGAGGGAGGGGGTGGTGAGGTTCCACTTGGTATGGACCTGCACACGTACCTTGATGCAGGATCACACATATTTCCATACACCAAAAATAAGTACCTACGTGAAAATCAACACATCTTGGCAACTTTCTTACCCAGAGTCATTTCTTTTAAATTTATAAATCTGATATATAAGTAGAAATAATTTAGTAAAAGCTTATAATTATATTGTAAATTGTATGTACTGTTTTAAACATCCTCGTCTAGGTGCTACACGGTTGGTTACTGTCCGGCTTAATCCATAGGTGTTTAAAAATAAGAAATGACACTTAACTTATCTAAGCGTCCGCCTAGCTTGTTTATACCATCTTAGGTCGCGACTCTCACTTATACTGAAAATTGATAACTTTTATTTTGCATTTTATTTTTCATTAAAATATAAGAGACTTGTTGAGTACTCGAATAAACACTCATTATATGCTTGTTCCTCATGTTCTCAATATGTTTTAATACTTTATAATTTATAGGTTATCTTATTTTGCAATTTATATATCTCAATACAATTATGTATATTTTTAAGTATAAATAGGTACTTATTTATATGATATATAATCAATTAAATTAAATTTGCCTAGGCCCCACCTAGACACCTAGGTGCTAGATCCCAACTCACCATCCGACTAGCGTCTAACGTCTAGTGTCTTTTAAAATCTTGATTGTATGATACCGAAATATTGCCGTGTGGCATGATTAACTATGTGATTTAGGCGAGACTAGAGTGGGCTTCAGTTTGATACTAGTTTACGAAATTCATACCAATCAATGGAATATGGTCCAATCATGTCAAAAAATAGTCAATCACTCACATATAATCGATGGGGGAATATATTTCACCGGATTTGGATCCTTGCCGAATCCCCTTCCTGGGAATCCTAGGGATCAATGAACAAAGACCGTTGATAAAAAATCATGCGCCACAATTTTTTTTTTTACGCAAAACAATGATGCTTTACTTTTAAAAATATAAAAAACATTTAATTAGGACCGCACGATTTTTTATCAATAGTCCGTGTTCGTTGATCCCTAGGATCCCCAGGGAGGGGATCCGACGAGGATTTAAATCCATATTTCACCAATGATAAATTCTTGGTAAGGTGGACTATGAATTTATACTTTAGTGTACATCTATTCTATTCTATTAAGAGAATAGGACTTGTCAACTTTTTGCCCCCTTTCTTCCAATTTTACCCTCACTTTTGAATACACAATGTTGACATGAGGAGGGCAAAATAGTACTTTTGTACCTTGTGACAAAATGACAATCATATCCCTATTTTCCTATTTTACCCTCACTTTGATACACAATATTTACATAAAGAGGGTAAAATGGTAATAATGTAATATTAAGAAAAATATGACCTAATTAAGAGATCCTATCATCATTGTCTCAGAATCTTTTTAAAAATTTTAAAAACTAATTACACTCCTTAATAAAAAACAAAAAAGAAAATGAAATTGTTCACACA